GTGTGTGTGTGTCACTAACTACGTGTTACTATGTGTGTGTGTTAGGGCCTGCACGACTTTATTTTTTTTAAAGTCGACAGTCAAGTAATGAAAGTCGACTAGTTCATACAACCCCTAGTGTGTGTTACTAACTGCGTGTGTGTGTGTTACTGTGTGTGTGTGTTACTAACTACGTGTCACTGTGTGTGTGTGTGTTACTAACCGCGTGTGTGTGTGTTACTGTGTGTGTGTGTCACTAACTACGTGTCACTGTGTGTGTGTGTTACTAACTGCGTGTGTGTGTGTGTTACTGTGTGTGTGTGTGTGTCACTAACTACGTGTCTCTGTGTGTGTGTGTGTTACTAACCGCGTGTGTGTTACTGTGTGTGTGTGTTACTAACTGAGTGTGTGTTACTGTGTGTGTGTGTCACTAACTACGTGTTACTATGTGTGTGTGTCACTAACCGCGTGTGTGTGTTACTGTGTGTGTGTGTCACTAACCGCGTGTGTGTGTGTTACTGTGTGTGTGTGTGTTACTAACTGCGTGTGTGTTACTGTGTTTGTGTGTCACTAACTACGTGTTACTATGTGAGTGTGTCACTTACCGCGTGTGTGTGTGTTACTGTGTGTGTGTGTGTGTGTTACTAACTGCGTGTGTGTTACTGTGTGTGTGTCACTAACTACGTGTTACTATGTGTGTGTGTCACTAACTGCGTGTGTTTGTTACTTTGTGTGTGTGTCACTAACTACGTGTTACTATGTGTGTGTGTCACTAACTACGTGTTACTGTGTGTGTGTGTCACTAACTACGTGTTACTATGTGTGTGTGTCACTAACTACGTGTTACTGTGTGTGTGTGTCACTAACTACGTGTTACTATGTGTGTGTGTCACTAACTACGTGTTACTGTGTGTGTGTGTCACTAACTGCGTGTTACTATGTGTGTGTGTCACTAACTACGTGTTACTATGTGTGTGTGTCACTAACTGCGTGTGTTTGTTACTGTGTGTGTGTGTCACTAACTACGTGTTACTATGTGTGTGTGTCACTAACTACGTGTTACTGTGTGTGTGTGTCACTAACTGCGTGTTACTATGTGTGTGTGTCACTAACTACGTGTTACTATGTGTGTGTGTCACTAACTGCGTGTTACTATGTGTGTGTGTTACTAACTGCGTGTTACTATGTGTGTGTGTCACTAACTACGTGTTACTATGTGTGTGTGTCACTAACTGCGTGTTACTATGTGTGTGTGTCACTAACTACGTGTTACTACGTGTGTGTGTCACTAACTACGTGTTACTATGTGTGTGTGTCACTAACTGCGTGTGTTTGTTACTGTGTGTGTGTGTCACTAACTACGTGTTACTATGTGTGTGTGTCACTAACTACGTGTTACTGTGTGTGTGTGTCACTAACTACGTGTTACTGTGTGTGTGTGTCACTAACTACGTGTTACTATGTGTGTGTGTCACTAACTACGTGTTACTGTGTGTGTGTGTCACTAACTACGTGTTACTGTGTGTGTGTGTCACTAACTGCGTGTTACTGTGTGTGTGTGTCACTAACTGCGTGTTACTATGTGTTTGTGTCACTAACTACGTGTTACTATGTGTGTGTGTCACTAACTGCGTGTGTTTGTTACTGTGTGTGTGTGTCACTAACTACGTGTTACTGTGTGTGTGTGTCACTAACTACGTGTTACTATGTGTGTGTGTCACTAACTACGTGTTACTATTTGTGTGTGTCACTAACTACGTGTTATTGTGTGTGTGTGTCACTAACTGCGTGTTACTATGTGTGTGTGTCACTAACTACGTGTTACTATGTGTGTGTGTCACTAACTACGTGTTACTGTGTGTGTGTGTCACTAACTGCGTATTACTATGTGTGTGTGTCACTAACTACGTGTTACTATGTGTGTGTGTCACTAACTGCGTGTGTGTGTTACTGTGTGTGTGTGTCACTAACTACGTGTTACTATCTGTGTGTGTCACTAACTACGTGTTACTGTGTGTGTGTGTCACTAACTACGTGTTACTATCTGTGTGTGTCACTAACTACGTGTTACTATCTGTGTGTGTCACTAACTACGTGTTACTGTGTGTGTGTGTCACTAACTACGTGTTACTATGTGTGTGTGTCACTAACTACGTGTTACTATGTGTGTGTGTCACTAACTGCGTGTGTTTGTTACTGTGTGTGTGTGTCACTAACTACGTGTTACTATGTGTGTGTGTCACTAACTACGTGTTACTGTGTGTGTGTGTCACTAACTGCGTGTTACTATGTGTGTGTGTCACTAACTACGTGTTACTGTTTGTGTGTGTCACTAACTGCGTGTTACTATGTGTGTGTGTCACTAACTACGTGTTACTGTTTGTGTGTGTCACTAACTACGTGTTACTATGTGTGTGTGTCACTAACTACGTGTTACTGTGTGTGTGTGTCACTAACTACGTGTTACTGTGTGTGTGTGTGCCACTAACTGCGTGTTACTATGTGTGTGTGTCACTAACTACGTGTTACTATGTGTGTGTGTCACTAACTGCGTGTGTTTGTTACTGTGTGTGTGTGTCACTAACTACGTGTTACTATGTGTGTGTGTCACTAACTACGTGTTACTATCTGTGTGTGTCACTAACTACGTGTTACTGTGTGTGTGTGTCACTAACTACGTGTTACTATGTGTGTGTGTCACTAACTACGTGTTACTGTGTGTGTGTCACTAACTACGTGTTACTATGTGTGTGTGTCACTAACTACGTGTTACTATTTGTGTGTGTCACTAACTACGTGTTACTGTGTGTGTGTGTCACTAACTGCGTGTTACTATGTGTGTGTGTCACTAACTACGTGTTACTATGTGTGTGTGTCACTAACTGCGTGTTACTATGTGTGTGTGTCACTAACTACGTGTTACTATGTGTGTGTGTCACTAACTACGTGTTACTATGTGTGTGTGTCACTAACTACGTGTTACTATGTGTGTGTGTCACTAACTACGTGTTACTGTGTGTGTGTGTCACTAACTGCGTGTTACTATGTGTGTGTGTCACTAACTACGTGTTACTATGTGTGTGTGTCACTAACTGCGTGTGTGTGTTACTGTGTGTGTGTGTCACTAACTACGTGTTACTATGTGTGTGTCACTAACTGCGTGTGTGTTACTGTGTGTGTGTGTCACTAACTACGTGTTACTATGTGTGTGTGTCACTAACTGCGTGTGTGTTACTGTGTGTGTGTGTCACTAACTGCGTGTTACTATGTGTGTGTGTCACTAACTGCGTGTGTGTTACTGTGTGTGTGTGTCACTAACTGCGTGTGTGTGTTACTGTGTGTGTGTGTCACTAACTGCGTGTGTGTGTTACTGTGTGTGTGTGTCACTAACTACGTGTGTGTGTTACTGTGTGTGTGTGTGTCACTAACTACGTGTTACTATGTGTGTGTGTCACTTAACTGCGTGTGTTGTACTGTGTGTGTGTGTCACTAACTACGTGTTACTATGTGTGTGTGTCACTAACTGCGTGTGTGTTACTGTGTGTGTGTGTGTCACTAACTGCGTGTTACTATGTGTGTGTGTCACTAACTGCGTGTGTGTTACTGTGTGTGTGTGTCACTAACTACGTGTTACTGTGTGTGTGTGTCACTAACTACGTGTTACTGTGTGTGTGTCACTAACTACGTGTTACTGTGTGTGTGTGTCACTAACTGCGTGTTACTATGTGTGTGTGTCACTAACTACGTGTTACTATGTGTGTGTGTCACTAACTGCGTGTTACAATGTGTGTGTGTCACTAACTTCGTGTTACTATGTGTGTGTGTCACTAACTGCGTGTGTGTTACTGTGTGTGTGTGTCACTAACTACGTGTTACTATGTGTGTGTGTCACTAACTGCGTGTATGTGTTACTGTGTGTGTGTGTCACTAACTACGTGTTACTGTGTGTGTGTCACTAACTACGTGTTACTGTGTGTGTGTGTCACTAACTGCGTGTTACTATGTGTGTGTGTCACTAACTGCGTGTGTGTGTTACTGTGTGTCACTAACTACGTGTTACTATGTGTGTGTGTCACTAACTGCGTGTGTGTTACTGTGTGTGTGTGTCACTAACTACGTGTTACTGTGTGTGTGTGTCACTAACTACGTGTTACTGTGTGTGTGTCACTAACTACGTGTTACTATATGTGTGTGTCACTAACTGCGTGTTACTATGTGTGTGTGTCACTAACTACGTGTTACTATGTGTGTGTGTCACTAACTGCGTGTTACTATGTGTGTGTGTCACTAACTTTGTGTTACTATGTGTGTGTGTCACTAACTGCGTGTGTGTTACTGTGTGTGTGTGTCACTAACTACGTGTTACTATGTGTGTGTGTCACTAACTGCGTGTGTGTGTGTTACTGTGTGTGTGTGTCACTAACTACGTGTTACTGTGTGTGTGTGTCACTAACTACGTGTTACTGTGTGTGTGTGTCACTAACTGCGTGTTACTATGTGTGTGTTTCACTAACTGCGTGTGTGTGTTACTGTGTGTCACTAACTACGTGTTACTATGTGTGTGTGTCACTAACTGCGTGTGTGTTACTGTGTGTGTGTGTCACTAACTACGTGTTACTATGTGTGTGTGTCACTAACTACGTGTTACTGTGTGTGTGTGTCACTAACTGCGTGTTACTATTTGTGTGTGTCACTAACTGCGTGTGTGTGTTACTGTGTGTCACTAACTACGTGTTACTATGTGTGTGTGTCACTAACTGCGTGTGTGTTACTGTGTGTGTGTGTCACTAACTACGTGTTACTATGTGTGTGTGTCACTAACTACGTGTTACTGTGTGTGTGTGTCACTAACTACGTGTTACTGTGTGTGTGTGTCACTAACTACGTGTTACTGTGTGTGTGTGTCACTAACTGCGTGTCACTATGTGTGTGTGTCACTAACTACGTGTTACTGTGTGTGTGTGTCACTAACTACGTGTTACTGTGTGTGTGTGTCACTAACTGCGTGTGTTTGTTTGCAGCGCATCACTTCCCCTCCTCAGACATGACCCTCAGTGAGCGCTTCGCCGTGTACCAAAGAAAAGCTGCAGAAGCAGAAATGATGAAGCCGAGGAAGAGTCCAGAAATCCACAGGTACTTCCTGTTCCTGTTGTCCACGGAGCGGCTCTTGGTCCTCGCTAACGTGACTCCTCCCCCTGCAGGAGAATCGACGTGTCCCCCAGTGCCTTTAAGAGGCACCCTCACCTGTTTGAGGATGTGGACGAGTGCAGCTACAAGGTGACGAGAGCTTTAGAGATGTTTCTGTGGAGCGTGAGCCTGTCAGCAGGAGTGTTCAGCTTTGTGCTTTTCTTTCAAAGGATTCATATTTCTAAATCAAAAGAGCCCAAATGTGTTATGAGATATGGTTATTGGTTGGGTTTGTACCAAGCCAGCAAGGCTTAAGGAAGTGAATTAAGATCCTGAGTGCGAGCCTCTGAGGAGACCTTATCAGACCGTTTCCTTGTAAGTAGAAACCCCTCCAGACCTCTAACTGGTTTCTCTTATCAGCTGCATGCATGTTTGAGCTGGAGACAGCTTTCTACCATGTGTCTGATGCTAATGGTTAGCAGCAGCAATGCTGGGATGTCAGCGCTGACTCTTCTTCTGACTGTCAGGACCTAACGAAGCCGGTCTCTGCAGGATCCCAGTAAAAAGTTTAAAGGAGACGTCATGGACCTCCGCCTGGATATTGAAAGACGTAAGAGGTTTGCTGGGAAGGAGCGGGACTACAGGAGAGAAGGAGGCAGGAGCCCCGAAGGCTCCCGAGGGCCCAGTGGGGACCGGTCCTCCGACAAGTCTGGGAAGCACCACAAGAAGTCCAAGTAGGTCCAAAACACCAGACCAGAACCGCCTCCTGTCCGGGGTTACAAGGGGACACTATATGAACACACACTAATGCAGCAAACCTGTTGATCCAAGGGAAAGCCGGTACCGTTCTGTTCTCACACAATGTTTCAGATGCATCTGATGGTGCACGGGTGCACGAGTAGAGGAACTGGACCCCACCGTGTATTCTCGGCTTTGTGCTCCACATTGGCGCTGAGCTGGAGGCTTCTTGGCTTCTCTCCACCAAAGTGACTGGATAGATTTCCCAGAATGCTTTGTGTTAATAAACGTTAAAATGAAAACTAGGATTAGGGCTGCACGATATTAGGAAATCCTGCGATTTTCGAAAACAGTGCTTAATATTGCGATATCGATATTACGATAAATGAACAAATACTAAAGTATGCAGTGTTGATGTCGTCTGGCGTGTTACGTCTGCTCTGGGCTCAAAGCTAACAACAACTAATGCATGAATTCCATTACAGCATAACATTTTTATTGCAAAAACATGCAGCCGTACCTGCTACTGTATTAGCAGCTGCACCTGCTACTGTATTAGCAGCTGCACCCGCTGCCGTATTAGCAGCCGCACCTGCTACTGTATTAGCAGCCGCACCTGCTACTGTATTAGCAGCTGTACCTGCTACTGTATTAGCAGCTACACCTGCTACTGTATTAGCAGCTGCACCTGCTACTGTATTAGCAGCCGCACCTGCTACTGTATTAGCAGCCGCACCTGCTACTGTATTAGCGGCTGCACCTGCTACTGTATTAGCAGCTGCACCTGCTACTGTATTAGCGGCTGCACCTGCTACTGTATTAGCAGCTGCACCTGCTACTGTATTAGCAGCCGCACCTGCTACTGTATTAGCAGCTGCACCTGCTACTGTATTAGCAGCTGCACCTGCTACTGTATTAGCGGATGCACCCGCTACTGTATTAGCAGCTGCACCTGCTACTGTATTAGCGGCTGCACCTGCTACTGTATTAGCGGCTGCACCTGCTACTGTATTAGCGGCTGCACCTGCTAAAGTATTAGCGGATGCACCCGCTACTGTATTAGCGGCTGCACCCGCTACTGTATTAGCAGCTGCACCTGCTACTTTATTAGCAGCTGCACCCGCTACTGTATTAGCAGCTGCACCCGCTACTGTATTAGCAGCTGCACCCGCTACTGTATTAGCAGCTGCACCTGCTACTGTATTAGCGGCTGCACCTGCTACTGTATTAGCAGCTGCACCTGCTACTGTATTAGCGGCTGCACCTGCTACTGTATTAGCGGCTGCACCTGCTAAAGTATTAGCGGATGCACCCGCTACTGTATTAGCGGCTGCACCCGCTACTGTATTAGCAGCTGCACCTGCTACTGTATTAGCAGCTGCACCCGCTACTGTATTAGCAGCTGCACCTGCTACTGTATTAGCAGCTGCACCCGCTACTGTATTAGCAGCTGCACCTGCTACTGTATTAGCGGCTGCACCTGCTACTGTATTAGCGGCTGCACCTGCTACTGTATTAGCGGCTGCACCTGCTAAAGTATTAGCGGATGCACCCGCTACTGTATTAGCGGCTGCACCCGCTACTGTATTAGCAGCTGCACCTGCTACTGTATTAGCAGCTGCACCCGCTACTGTATTAGCAGCTGCACCTGCTACTGTATTAGCAGCTGCACCCGCTACTGTATTAGCAGCTGCACCCGCTACTGTATTAGCGGCTGCACCCGCTGCCGCATTAGCGGCCGCACCCGCTGCCGCATTAGCGGCCGCACCCGCTACCGTATTAGCACCTGCACCTGCTACTGTATTAGCACCTGCACCCGCTACTGTATTAGCAGCTGCACCCGCTACTGTATTAGCAGCTGCTACTGTATTAGCAGCTGCTACTGTATTAGCAGCTGCTACTGTATTAGCAGCTACACCTGCTACTGTATTAGCAGCTGCACCTGCTACCGTATTAGCAGCTGCACCCGCTACTGTATTAGCAGCTGCACCCGCTACTGTATTAGCAGCTGCACCCGCTACTGTATTAGCAGCTGCACCCGCTACTGTATTAGCAGCTGCACCCGCTACTGTATTAGCAGCTGCACCCGCTACTGTATTAGCAGCTGCACCCGCTACTGTATTAGCAGCTGCACCCGCTACTGTATTAGCAGCTGCACCCGCTACTGTATTAGCAGCTGCACCCGCTACTGTATTAGCAGCTGCACCCGCTACTGTATTAGCAGCTGCACCCGCTACTGTATTAGCAGCTGCACCCGCTACTGTATTAGCAGCTGCACCCGCTACTGTATTAGCAGCTGCACCCGCTACTGTATTAGCAGCTGCACCCGCTACTGTATTAGCAGCTGCACCCGCTACTGTATTAGCAGCTGCACCCGCTACTGTATTAGCAGCTGCACCCGCTACTGTATTAGCAGCTGCACCCGCTACTGTATTAGCAGCAAAACAACAAACTGCATGCATGCAGTTTCTCAGTGACTTTAAAACATCACCTCCACCATAAAACTTTTTCTGATGCTCCAAATAGAGAAAAACATCCCTTACCAGGGTTTTTGGAATAAATAAATAAAAAGATCATAAAATAAGTTTAAATGTTAAATAATAGTTAACATCACTTAAATGCAACAGCAAATTCTCTCATTGCTACTGAACATTTTCTCCACTTATGTGGTTATGATATAAGGCTGTTGCTGTAACTGGGAAGTGAACTGTGCTGGGCCAAACTAGGAGAATATTAAGATTTTCTGAGGGAAAGAGAAAAACAATTGTCTACCTTTCAGAAGAGGAACTGGCAAAAAACTACATGGAAAATATGTGAAAACATTTATTTTTAACCCCACATTGAACAAGTTTACCTAGATCTTAAAAAGCAGCTCAGTTGATGAAACAGCAGCTATGATTCTGATAACAAGCTAACTAATTAAACTAAGCTAACCGGCTAGCAGAGCTTCTGACTGACAGTTTATGTGCAGCAGCAAATCAACTATCCTGATTAACAAGGTTATAAAAGCTCATAAATGAAAAATCACTTTGATGTGTGGGGGAACTTTTCCAGGCCCTCTTTAGCAGGGTGGGACTGGGAGGAGAGTGCTGTAGCCTTTTAGCTGGAAGCTAACCGGAGCCTGGGGCTAACGTCACCACCCGGTGGAACACTAGCGACATAAAGGTGGGTTGGTTCACCTGCACGTGTCGGAGTCAGCCCGGTAATTATCAGCTGCTTAACGACACCGAGCGGACTCACGTTCACGTTTGAAAGCAGCGCTGATTCCAGAAACATCAGCACAAAGTGCGTTCGTTGCTCTGAGCCAGCATGGCGAGCAAGGGAAGCGAGCGGCAGCGGAAAGCGGGGGCGGAGCGGAGATAGTGGAATTTTGGGGTAAGGGTCTATGTAGGGGGCGGGCGTATTACGTGAACGGACCCATCTGATTGGCTGCATATCAGAAGGGCTACATTTGATTGGTCAAATAATACTTCCACATAAAAAACAGAGCTGGTTTACAAAAAGGTGATGTATGACACGGATGGAAATGTTGAACCAAACATTTATCGCCGTTTTTGACGTGCTTTGCGATGGGCCTATCGCACGTCCTGTTGTCGCGAT